GATGTGTCATGCAATTTTATAAAATTCTTTTAATTTTTCTTTTTTCTTTGTGCTCCTTTTTCTGAATTTTGTCTGCCGTACAGTTTATTAGTTCTAACATCATTTCTTTATGACGTTGTATATTTGCAAACCGGGTTTTTCTGGCATTAGTGATGGCCCATAAAATCAATATTTTTTGAATATCAGTAGGCTTATTGCAGAGCAGAGCAGTTGTTTTATTTTTGCAAGCCCAAAGTTTTGAAGAAAGAAAACAAAGCGTGGCATTAGGAGCTTTCTGCTTTCCAGCGCTAAACGTGCCCACAAGTTCCTCTGAATCAATTTTTTCAGCCTTGCTGATTTAGTCTGGTTCATAAGTTGATCATTAGAACTTATGTCGAACTGCTGCTTGTACTGTCTGTCAATAACACTAGCAACAACATTCAGACAGTCAGCTAATGTTTTACTCATTTCATCAGTTACTGGGCAAAAGCTGATTATTGAATCAAAGACTGGATCTTTAATACCATTTCCAAAAAATTTTTTTTTTTATTTAATTAGATAGAGAGGATTCTTGCTGCTCTCAATGAGAGCTTTTTAAACATCTTTGACTTGTAGTCAAGTCCCTGACCAGGTGCAACATAAAAGTTTTTCATCCAAGGACCAGTCAGTAGCTTTCCAATTAAAGCTAAGGCACATAACTCATAGATACCTTGAATAAAAAAGTTAGTGAATAATAAACCATAATATTAGCTTTTAATAGTCTACAATCCCCTATTTATTCCTGCAAGTGTCATAAATATTGGTTTTAAAAACTTCATACATAAGCTTTATTATGCAAGCCTCCCTATCAAATTATAGGGAGTATCAAAAACTGAACGTGTACAAGAATGTAAATAGTTATATATAAGATTCACCTGTTTCAGATGTAAAGCCTTGCAAGAAACTATTTCTCAAACCTCCGCATAACACCAAGCCAGAAAACAGAAGAGTCTTAAATATTGCATAGGGATGAATCAAATAACACATGTGTGAAAAGCATGTGTAGTCTGTTCCCTTAGTAGCGTGGTAACAGTCCTCTGGTCAGCTTGTTTTGGTCCAAAAAGACTACAAAACCCTTTGGGTCACCTTTAAATAAAATATAGTATATTGTTTTAAAGACAGCAAGGAGCATGTGAAATAAAAAACATTTTTATGCCACATGTAAAATCTGTTTTAGATTTAAAACTCATAATTCACAAAACTACAGTTTAACTAAAGTAAAAGAGTAAGATTAAGATTGTACCCTTTGCATCTTTGTAGCAAAGTTTATTGAGCTGTAAAAGAATATTTGCTGCAATGCAGTCTTTTCCAAAAAGTTTTCCTTTGGAAGTCTGTAATGCTTTAAGTGAAGACTTGCAAGCACTGATCATTGCGTCTGAGGGGGGAAGATGACAGTTTAGTTCATTTAAAGATTTCTGCCAGATAGTTTTAACTTTGTGATTGTTGCATGGTTTTTTGCTTTGTCATTTATTGTATTAGTTATATTGCCAATAATAGTGTTATTGTTGCTATTTACCCTGCAAACTATTGTTGTTATTTGGCCTGCAAAAACCTTGTTGCATAAATCAATGAAAAAATTTGAATTTCTCAAAAAAATTGTGCATTTAACTTGTATGTATTAACTAGGTGCACAATCTGATTTTGACAAATTTTAGGGTTAAAAAACTTATTGACTAGTTCTTCAGTTTTTTTAAACGGTTCACTGTTGGTTGTAAATATATACAGTACGTGTCCATTTTTACATTCAATGTTTAATTGAGCAGGCAATGTAAAGTTACAAGCTGAATAACTTTTGGCTTCACCATAAACTAAACGTCTACTCTTTTTAAGGCTAAATAGCTGTAATCATTCACTTAGGTCAGCTACTAATTACAACCACTTACTATATTTAAAAAAAAAATAGCTACTTGAAATATTTCATAATATAGATTAAAAGTTTGTTATTAATAATTTCTACTTGATAAGTTCATAAAGTAACTTATCTGGTAATAGGTTCATAAAATAACCAATTAAGTGGACATTTTAATAATATTTTTTAAATGTGCGTACATTAAAAGTACAGTGGGTGCTCATATTATTAGAAACACTGTCTTTTTTTTGAAAATTATGTGTTAAAGGTTATTTATTATAGAAATAAAAAGGTTGCAGACTATTTTTTCGTAACTTTTGAGTGTTGCGGTCTATATTTATTATAAAAAACATACTTATTTATATATATTTTTAAATAATTCTACTATTGTACAAGCAAAAGATTACATATTGGTGATTTATTTTAGTATTTTGTTATCCCTCCCTCGGCACTTATTACCGCTTCTACACGTCTTGGCATACTTTCTATGCATTTTATTGCATTATTTTGTATATCTATGTTATTGTGCCAGACTTTGATCATCTTTTCAATTAATTGTATTTTGTTGGTGATCATTTCAGAAGCAATTTCCCTTTTCATGATCTCCCACAGATTTTCAATAGGGTTTAAATCTGGTGAGTTTCCTTGCCATGGTAGCACTGGAATTTTCTTCGCTTTTAGGTACTCTGTAACCTTCTTTGCTTTATGGCATGGGGCAGAATCATGCATAAATGTAAATTTTTGGTTCTTTGGGAACCATTTCTTCAACTGTGGTACCAATCTTGTGTCAAGAACTTTTATGTATTGGTCCTGGCGCATAGTTCCCTCAACGATATATAAGCACCCTGTTCCATGTCCACTAATGACAGACCATACCATTATACTTAGAGGATGCTTTACACGTTCTAAGATGCAGTCTTTGTGGAATTGTTCTCCAGCTGGTCTACACACAAACTGTGATTTGTTCATCAATATCTGGATTGTCGATTCATCCGAGAAACATACCTAAACAACATCAAAAAAACTTATAAGTCAAAGTTTTAATGTAGGCAAATCTCTAAATGTAATGTGTACAATTATAAATGAAGTACTTACATTATATCCAGTCATCGACGGTCAAATGCCGATGACTTTTAGCCCAAGCAAGGCGTTTTTGTTGCATTGCTAGAGTGAGCTTAGGCTTTTTAGCAGGTCGACAGCATCGAAATCCTTGTTCTTTAAATCGGTGACGAAATGTCATTGGAGATACTGGTATTCCAGCATCTTGTATTAAAGTGGTTAGTATTCGCCTAGGCTTATTCCTATTTTCTAGGCAAATATCTCGTATTTTTCTATCGTCTCTTGGCGTTGTTAGCCGTTTTCTACCACAATGTCCTGTTCGTTGAGGAGTATAATCAGCATTTTTGTCCAGATTTTTTTTTATTCGGTTGACTGTTGCCACTGAAACCTTTGTCATTGATGCTATACACCTTTGAGAATAAGAAATATTCTTCAATAATGCTCCAACTTCTCTTTTTTTTGAGGGTGAATTATCTTTTGCCTTTCCCATATAGAAAAAAACACGTGATTCTAGTAAACCGTTAGAGAAGTCAAATTATATGTAAAAATATTGATTTAATCATGTTTAACTGTAAAAAAATAGACACATAAATAGAACTCAATAACAAAACAAAAAAAAAATCTTTACGCGACAACAACACAGGTATAACTGCCAAAATTGTCAAAATTCGGGAAAAACCCTATAACTTCATAATGAGATGAAATGCAATGTTGCCAAACTCCCAGAATAAAGTAAAAGGTACATACATACTATTTGTAAAATAAAAAAAATTATTTTGTTAAAATGTTTTGTTAATTTTGAACTTTATTCACAAAGTTTTTAAAATTTGGTCGTGTTTCTAATAATATGATCACCCACTGTATATTATTAATAATCTCCACTTAACTGGTTTATAAGCCTTTTCTACTAGTATTATAGGTATAAATATAGATATTATCAGAAAATGACTTATACCAATTTCCACTTAATTTATTAAGTTAACTTATCATAAGGTAACTTTATGCCTAGATAGAAATTGGTATTAATACTAGTAAAAAAAAGTTATATTTTTTTAACAAATTATTACTGCGCAACACTTTTAAAGAAATTTTTATGAAAACTCAACATATTTTTAAAATGACAACTCAATAATTCTAAATGCTCATAACCGTGACCGACTCAACCCCTCCCCCCGAGCTACCATAAAAAACATAATATTGGGTACCTCCAGGGAATGCAAAGATAAAGTATGAGAGTGCAATTTTTTTTACTTGATATTTGGCAGGTGCTTAGAAAATAGATGTAGAAAATTAAATGAACATATTACAAAAATAAATCAACATGCCTTCAATATCAATACACTTCCACAACAGCAACGAAGTTTTTAATTCCAATAAAATTATTGAAAACGTTTATCACTGCAAAAAAAACAACAACCATATAACAAACTTTAAACTAACAAACAAAACTCATCCTTACGACACCTACTCCAAACACGCTGTGAAAAATTAGGTCACAGATTTTTACTTTAAAATCGGTGCCGTAAAAGCCAGTTAAGCACGTACCTACTACTTGCATTTATTAAAGTTTTGGCGCTTTTTCTCAAGTTTTTGTTTTCAAAATGAATTACGTCATTAAGTAATTCGCGTTGGTATGACAAGACTCTAACTGAAACTTTTTATATTAAAGAATTTAGGGGAAAAAAAAATTTTTTTCATGTTAATTAAAATTATTTGTATTATATTAGTTTTTCATTTAAAATGTTTTTGAATGCCACTAAAATTGAATCAGCCTAGGACCCCCAAGGTTGTAAATCCGGCCCTATATATATATATATATATATATATATATATATATATATATATATATATATATATATATATATATATATATATATATATATATATATATATATAGTTACATTAAAACATCAAGTTTTCATTAATTATATTAAAACATCAAATTTATTTATTGAAATTTTAGTTACATATTATTATTATTATTATTATTTTTAATATCTGTTTTAATGATATTTGATCTTTTTAATGCTTTAAGAAAGTTTTTAAGTTATATTTGTTCATATTCAAAATTTAGTTAAATGTTGTCCAATCCTTTCGATCAAAAAAAGGTTACCGCAGATACTTTGGGGACAAGCAAGACAGTTATCAACACAGGTTTTCTAATAAAAAATTCTAATGAAAGTTTTTTAATCACTTATATTAATTTGATATGTGTATATTACATTATATTACAGATCTTTAATAGACATATCAACCAATTCTACTGATCACGTGTCTAATCCATCCTTAACAAACGATCCTCCCTTCCGACGTCGGAATAGTACTATTTCTGAATTAATTGTCAACGGTTACGCTGGTTTCATAAGAGAGAAAAAAATCCATAGCAATAATAGCGATGAAAATTCGAGGAGGTCTGTTTCTTCTGAATGTTCCGAGGATTCACAAGAAGCAAAAGAAATCAACTATAATATAAACACATGGGTTTGATATTTTTCTACGATGATTTATGATGGTTTAAAACCTTTAGATACTTGTAAAAATTAAAAAAGCTTTTCTTTTTCTTTAGTTAATTAACATTAGGATTTAGATAGAGTTCAATTTTCTATTGTTATTAGATAAAAATTTTCATTAGTTATTTTCACAAATATGTAAACTTTTTTATATCAATGTTCATATTTATTTCTAAATCGAAATTTATTACAAGAGCTTTTTATAAATTTATTTTTGTTTTTATGGTCTTTTTCATACTTACAAATTTTTAGATAAAGCTTTGGCATCTCTATGAGCAATATTTGTATATTTCTATGACTAATGTTTGTATTTTAACCCCAGGTGACAAATATTTGGCACAAAATAAACACAAGCAGTAATAGTGCAACAAAAAGTTTAATGTTCAAAATAAAAGTAAAAAATGTTTAACAATATATTAGTTGTTTATTTTCGAGACTGAAATAATGCTTTCTCGCCATTACAACTATTGTGTCAACTTTTTTGTATACGTGTTCGCACATGTCTTGTACAAGATTTTTATCAACTTTTCTTAAACAAGAATGGATTCTTTTTTGCAGCTGATCTTTATTTTCAGCTTTCCAATTGTTTTCATACACGTAGCATTTAAGAATTGACCAGAAATCTTCTATTGGTTGTAATTCTCACATGCTGGATTATCAACTTTTGTTACATAACGGATATTTTTCTCATTGAGGTAATTGGTCTAGCATAATGTGAAGAGGTCAAGCCAGGTCAGAATACATAATTACCATCACTGTGATGTTTGTTGATAAAAGAACCAATCGTTTGATGATGCAATCATTCAAATTTGCTTTCAATGATGCAATCATTCAAATTTGCTTTTGCGCTTATATTTTACATTTTTGTGCATTTCTTGCTTCATCTGAGTAAAATCCAGCATTAGAATTTTTATTTATATGTTTAAATGTAAAATAAGACTCATTTTCATTGACAAAGTCACGGTTTGTGAATTTGCCACAAATTCTTCCACACTTCACTTGCAAATGATTTAACTGTTTATCAGGGATTTGTTTTTTCTCAAAATAACAAATGTTTGTTTTGTTTTTTAATGTTTTTACAATATAGGAATGATCACTCTTGAATTTATTTGCAATTTTTCTTGTCGATGTTCTAGACCAGTTGTTCAAAAGACGATTCAGGCAATTAATGTTCCTAGCAGTCATAATTTTTAGTTTTCTGCCTGATCCAGGCTTACGAGACTTTGGCTAATTCCTCTTTGCCATGTAACGTTTGATGGTTCTTTTGAGGTGATTAAAGACAACAAAATATTCTACGATATTCTTCGTTTTAGCGAAGCAAGTTACAATACTTGTACACTTGTTCAAATAATGAAGTCGGCTACATTTTTGAATAACTTTTTTATTAATTAATCTAAGCAAAAAAAAATTCAGTGAAAGATAGCTAACACTTTATTAACAAAACAACTAAAAAAGTAAGACTGAATAACTAAAAATTCAATAAGTTTTAGTTTCTCAAAGATTGTGCAAAATTTTGGTCACGAGGGGTTAATAGTTCGTTAATAGTATTGAGCTCGTTCCCAAGGCTAAGAATTGCGAGAATTATTGGGCTGAAGTGTTACGTGTTCTTTTTCACGCTCATTATAAATAAAATAAAGAGTTTAAGAATTTTTATACTATCATGTTTTATAGATAATAAATAATAAATAGACTATAGCCACAGATGCATTAAATAAATATTCTTTTAAAAATTTGTGTTCTGGTTTTTAGATTTTTGTACGATCCTAATTTTTATAAAATTTTTGAAAGTTGAAGTACTACTGCTAAAGTAATAATGTTCGTACTTTTAAACAAAAACTGTTTTTGAGATTAAAGAACCACTTATTTATACTCCTAAATGTTTTTGGAAAATATCCAGAAATTTTGTGAAAATACTTTTTTTTTTAGCTATTAAAGTGCTCCAAGAAGAAGATCTAACAATCTTATCATAGAGCACCGCGGAGGAGTATTTCACCAGGAAATTTCTTCCATTCCAATGGCGCTTTATTGAGCAATGAACAAAACAAAACTTAGAAAGGCCGGCATTGACCCTCTTGGTTCTGAGACAGAACCAAGAGGGTCAATCCCGGCCACTTCACAACAGGTGCTTTCTAAGTTTTGTTTTTTTAGGTTTAAAAAAATACATTTAGTAACTACCAAAAAAATAAATAGAAAAACAAAACTAATGTTGAACAAAATTTCAAAAAAAAAATTCAAATAGAACAACAAAACTCTAGTAACAGTTTCTTTGCAATAATTTTTTAATAAAGGAAAATACTATAAAAAATGTTTGGCAACATTACTTTTTTAAAGCTTTATCAAACTTACCCTTCAAAAGTTACAAATCAGAAACATAAAACGAAATACAATCTGCTTCGAAAATACATCCTTATAATATGGAAAAGTTCCTATCCCTGAAAACCGAAAAGTTATGCTCTGCTCTGTAAAAGAATGTTATCTCAGCAATTTCTGACATATCATGTATACCCATTAATTTTTCTGGGTTACTGTTCATTTCTGAGTCTTATGCATTAGGAAAGTATTTACAGTCGTGTGCAGTAAAATAGTAGTGCGTATTTTATTTTTCAATCAACAAACTTTGAACATCAAAATATATTTTTTTATTGTTTGTTTTTTATTGTTATTGTTCATAAACTAAATGTTGTGATTATAATAGTATAAAAAAAATTTAAGAAAGATAATTGCAACAGTGTAACGTTTTGAATTTTAATATTATCGATTGAAGGTTATTCGTATTTTTTTTTTAGGCTGTGCAATAAAATAGTAGTGAAAATCATTTTTTATGAAAAGGTCAAAAAATAATAAAATTTTATTACAAAAAAAAATTTTTTTTTGAAGCTCTACATTAGTATTTTGTGGCATGACCTTTATTTGTAATAACCGCCAAGCATCTTTGTTGCATGGAATTAATAAGATTCTGACACCGTTCGACAGATATATTTTGCCGTGTTGACTGTACTACGTCCCATAATTGATTACAAACTTTTGGATTATTTTCAGAAACTGCTTGTTTAACATCAATTCACAAGTTTACAATCGGATTGAAGTCGGGGGATTGTGCTGGCCACTCCATCATATCGATTTTGTTCTCATTAAACTACGTTTTGGCTAACTTGCTCGTATGTTTGGGATCATTATCCTTCTGGAACAAAAGTTTGACAGCATTTCTTCTTCAGCATACGGCAGCACGATCTCCTCAAGTATTTTTACATATATATACATACATACATGATACCTTCTATGCGATGTATCGGCCCAAGACCATAGTAAGAAAAACAACCCCATATCATTATTTTTGAACCTCCATGTTTGACGGTTTTTAATGCAAATTGTGGCTTATATGCTGCACCCGTTGGTCTTCTAACATACTGTTTACGAACATAGGAACCAAAAATTTCAATTTTGCTTTCATCAGTCCACAAAACATTTTGCCATTTTTTCTTTAGGCCAAGAAGCATGCATACGTGCAAATTTTAAACGATTTTCGATATGCCTTTACTCAAAAGTAGCACTTTTCTAAATGTTCTTGCATTTAAATCGGCATGTGTTAATCGTCTTCAAATAGTTGAGGTATTAACATTTAATTCTAGCCTTTTTTTAATTTTTCTAGAAGTAATTAATGACTCCTTTTTCGCTAACAATACAATTTGACGATCTTTTATAGCGGTAGTTGATCTTTTATTTTCACGTTTTTCTGGTTTGGGTATCCATTTTAAAGCATTACAAATCATTGTTGGTAAGCATCCAACCAGTTTTTATATTTGTTTGTAGGCTTTACCATGATTTTTAAGATTTATAATTAAATTACGAACTTCTTCAGTATAATGCTCAGAGCGCCCCATGTTTTTCTAAATTTTCAAAATTTTAGTAAGTGTATAAATTTATCTAATATTAAAATTATTTACTTACTTATTGCTTATTATTAAGAACTAATAATAATTAGAATTTAATAAGTACAGCAAATATTACACAAAAATTAATTTTTCACTACTATTTTATTGCACAGTATAAAAAAAAATACGAATGTCCTTCAATCGATAATATTGAAATTTAAAACCATACAGTGCTGCAATTATCTTTCTTAATTTTTTTTTATACTATTATAATCACAACATTTAGTTTATGAACAATAACGATAAAAAACAATCAATAGAAAAATACATTTTGATGTTCAAAGTTTGTTGATAGAAAAATAAAATGCGCACTTCTATTTTACTGCACACGACTGTACAAATATAGATGCATCTGGACATTCTAATTTATGCTAGCAACGATGAAAGCAAAAATACACCGATTATCTTAACGCAATGTTATTAAGGTGGTAGTACCCTTTGTTTTTCTAAACTGTTAGATTAAATCTATTCAAAAATAACAAAATTAGTGTTTCTTACCCCCTCCCCCTCTCTGCACAGTGGCGGATAGGAGAAGGTTTTTTCATGGGCAACAACAAAAATGAGTAAAATGAAGACGTTCTTGAAAAAGCTATTGCAGATATTTAATTAAGATTTTATATTTATTTTATTAATTTAAGTGATTTTTTTCTGCTTTTCCGCTGAAATAAAGTTTTTAACAATTTTGATTCAATAGTTAATCTTGCTATATTACTTAAACGACTATGAAGCATTGTTGATCGGTGCATTTTCTTTACTCTTTTGAAAGCAGAGAATGATCTCTCAGCCTCGCAATTTGTTATGGGAATAGTCAGAAACAAACAATATGTTATATATAATCATATTGGTTTCAACAATCCAATTTAAAACATGCAGAGAAATCGATATGTTTTTAGTTTCAGATTTATCTTTTTTATGAGAAAAAAAACATGGAGGTTGCAACTTTAATAATGATACAAATTATTCTAATTCAAAAATGACACTATCTTCTGAATCCTATGAGTACACTTCTACAATTTTTTTTTTTGCGTTAACTTGCAACTCCATGATACTAATAGTTAACAGCTTTGACAGAAATCCAAATAACTTATTTATGCGGCTATAAAATCACTTCTTATAGTTAACGAGTTAAGCTTTTTTGATTCATTCTCAAATCTCGTATAGTCGTTTCGTAGGTTTTTTACAAAGTCAATTAGTGAAAGTAACATACTGCTTGCTGTATGTAAATCTAATTCAACTTTTCAAAGAAATTTGCTAATTTCATTAAACCTCATAAGTATGCGATGCCAAAGTACAGCCGTGAATGCAAACTCTAGCTTAGTAATCTTATTTAATAAACTGCTTTTTTTTAACTTTTTTACTTATTACTTTTTATTTAGTAAACTTCATGACGAGTATCAGACTTTTCTTTTGAATCCTCAGCTATTAGAAATAACGCTGCATGAATCTCATCATAATTTTCTACTAAACCTTTTAAAGCATCTGACCTACATGACCATCGTGTACCTGATAGACGCTTGAGTGTAGCATGCTTTCCTTCCAATAAATCCCATCTGTGTGTTGAAACTAAAAAAATGACTACAAACTCCGCAGAACGCCAAAATAGTTGATAGAGTTGATGCACTCACTGACACTGCACTGCCCTACTAAGTTTATAGAATGTCCAGCGCAGGGGATATAAAAAGCTAATTCACTCCGCTCTTCTAAACGTGCTTGTAATCAAAAATATTTACCAGACATAATGCTTGCATTATAGTATGCCTGTCCATAACAATTGCTTATACCAATATCATATTATTCCAGTTAATCTAAAATGTCAGTAATCAAAGATTTACTATCGTGGCTTTTAATTTGTAGAAAACAAAAAAAATCGCTCATACACGTGGCCATTTACTTAATAACAAAATATCACAGAAAGTTGATCCACGTGAGAAAAATCAGGCGTATAATCTACAATATTTCACCTGTATTTTGTTTTTTTTTATTTTGCTAATAATGTACCTTAAAACCTTTTGAGACACAGTATTAGTTAGCTCTTCGCAAATTAATAGACAAATAACATTACCTTTGTCTTTATTTGCAAAAGTGTCGATGTGTTACTTTAAAACTGGATTAAATTGAGTCAACAGTTCTAACACGCCTAAGAAGTTTTCGTTATTTGACGATCCTATAACTTTATTATGGCCTCGAAATGCTACTATTCTATTTATATATGCCTCGAAGCTGCTACTATTCTATTTAAGATCGAAGCCCAATAATTGAGGAGTAAACCTGCAAAACCAGACAAGTGTCCACTCTGAAAAAATTATGAGAAAATAAGAAAAATAAAAAACACTTTTTACTGATTCTGCATAAATCAACAACTTCATCACGCTTTATTTCAAGGACCTGTCTGATTATGCACGTCTGACCTATTTGAAGACGCGTAGAACATGCCCACGATGCTTGGGGCACTAAATGCACGTTAAATGTTAGAAGTGGATTTGTCTGGTTTTGCAAGTTCACTCCTCAATTATTCTTGTCCTTAATCTGGTTTACCATATACTCATCAATATGAGTATTTTGTTTTATGAATTCTATCCAATTAATCATACATTGAACATTTTCCTTGCTGTTTTCGCGGCCAAAAATAGTTTATTCAGCTTTTTTCCAATAATAAAAACCACTTTTAACAAATACATTGTCGTAATTGGTTGAAAACGATTTTCAAAAATTACAAAACACATATCTAGTGGATTTAGTGGATGGGACATTTTTGGCCACACTTGTCGCCATTATTCATCACTTTTTGAAAATATTTAACCGAATAATATCTATACTGCTTTTTGAACATTCGTTTCGAAAATTCGAAATTAAAGTCTTTATTTTGAAAAAAAGCATACCTCTTATTTAAATACTTCATACGTTTATTTTCCTTTAATTATAATGGCCATAAAGCAGGGTTTTCATATAGAATGGTATCTAGGAAAAAAAAATTATGGTAAAAAAAATAATAAGTGTATGTAATGAGTGTCATGAAAAGTGACAATTTATTGAAAAATAATATTAAATGCCTAAAAAGTAAATTGTTTGATTAGTAGATGTTAGAGGTGTCATTAAAGATCGGAGTACCTGAGTCAAGTTTATTATTTCGCATTGTAAATTCAACACTTTCAACTTCGCAAGTTTTATTTAAAGGATTGAGGGAAGCTACCCCATTTTCCGTGTTATTGTTTTCACCTTTTCTTTCATCGTTTTTATCATTTTCTACAGTTTGTGGAAATTGCATGCTGATTTGGTTTGATAAAAAAAAATTGTCATTTTCGGAATTTAAACTACCGTTTCCTTTCTTTCTTTTTTCAATCTCCTTTTAGAAGCTCCTCTTTCATATTTTCTTAAGTGTTAAGCTATTCGTTTTTCTCTAGAATCTTCTCTTCCGCAAGTTTAGCGCTACAGCTAAACTTGATTTTACACAAGAATTCCTTTGTGAGGAAGTACAAAAGAATTTTAGAGTTGCAATCCTTAATACGTTTTCAAAGACAATATAATTATTCAAGTCATTAATAATTTTCTAAAGGGAATGATTTTTGTAGCAATTTGTACAAATACTACATTCAATTTATGATAAAAAGGCGTTGCTACCAATCCAGTAATTTTTTTTTTGTAGAATTGATTAGCGCTCCTCCGTACGGAGGAGCGCTAGCTAGTGCCGCTAGTGTTAGCGGCTATATATATATTGTGTGGCTAGCGCCGCTAGTGTTAGCGGACTAACGGCCGTTAGTCCAAAAAAAAAACCGGTAAAAATAATTTTAATGCAGCGTTTTAGTTGACAGTCTTTTTTTATTTTTGTGTTTTTGTTTTCAATCAGACATTTTAGTAAAGCTACTTTTTAAGTTAATAAAAGTTTCAATTTTTAGAGTTGATAAAAAATCTTTTACTTTGAGTCAGAGCCTACAAAATTGTGGCCCCCAAAATCGAAACCTCCAAAAACTCCCTACTCATGATCCACTTAGATATTTGGGCACTCGAAATTTTTTCTTAAATCACAGAGGTTTTAAAAAAGTAGCAAAAGTACTCATAATCCAGACCACTTGGCAATATGAGCAAAAAAACATTAAGTAAAAAAATACCAAGCTGACAATTAGAACTAATTTTCGGAATATAATGATTCGTTATTTAATTATTTTATTTATTTATTTCCTTTGCCGTTTAATAAAATTTACAATAAAAAAGATTGTACATGTATAATAAATGGCCGGAGCAATAAGAAGACGTATATTGTCTTCTCGCCGAGCCCCCTTTACATTGTCGTCTTCAGTTTATGTAAGAAGTTAAAATTAAAAGTTCAAAATTTACAGATTGAAGATTATAAAGTAAATCACAATATATTACAATTAGTAAATCGTATAATAAGATATATATTTTAGTTTAGTTTTTCTTTTTTATAAGAAGAAAATAAGAAACAAATCAAGACAGAAATAAATGGGTAAAGATGACTTTTTTTAATTTAATTATTTTAGGTACTTATTTAAAAAATATAGGTACTTATTTAAAAAATGATTTTAAGATTGAAGTAATTTTCTAATAGAAATCGTTTAGATTTTTTTTTTGAATTGATCTAGTAAGAAATTTAGAAGAGTTTTATTTTTAATAACATTTTTCAAAAAACTTTTCAATATAAATGGTCCACGGTACTGAATTTGAAACGAACTGATTTTATTAAATTATTAGTTGAATACTTTGTGGGGTATTTATGAGTAATTTTGGTGAAGTAAGAGTGAAATATATTAGAAAATAAACCATGTTTTGTCTTAAACATTAAAAGCATAACTTAGTATATGTTAAGTTTACAAACATTGAGTGCATTAAGTTCCATTAAAAGAGATTCACCATTAATAGTTCTGTAAACACAAAATATAATGATACTTGCATGTTTTTGTTTGCTATAGATTTTTTTAAGCTTCCCATAATTAGTACTTCCCTATACAATATTGCAATAGGAAAGATAACTATGAATAAATGAAAAGTATATAATTTTTAAAGACCCTAATAGCAATATTGGCGCAATATTGGGGCGATATTGTTTAAAATATTGGCGCAATATTGTAAACTATATAGGGCCCATGTTACCATGTGAACATTTTGCCAATATTGGCCAATATTGGCGCTACAATATTGCGCCAATATTGTAAAGTCAATATTGGCCAATATTGGCGATACAATATAGCACCAATACTGTTAAGTCAATATTGGCAAAATGTTCACATTGCAACATTGGCACAATATAGTTTATAATATTGCGCCAATGTTGTAAGTAATATCGCGCCAATAATGGGGATATTATACTGGCCAATATTGGCCTAATATAGTTTACAATATTATCCTGATATATATAATATATATAACTAAATTAAGACAATATATTGAGTATTTTTGATTAAATTTTTATTATTAAAAAATAATAAAAAATATTGCCTTCTACAAATTTGTAATAAATAAAATTTATAACAGTTTTTTTGTTTAAGTGATACTATAGTACTAGGCTGCATTATTCTTTTGAGTTAAACAGGTTATAGTCTAGGAGATGACAATGATCATAGAACACGCTTTAAGAAAAAAAAATTCGAAATCATTAAACTTATTTGAAGTTATATGAAACAGATACAAAAATCTATAAACTATGTATTATACTCTCACTATGAGATAGTGGGTATCGACTTTCATTATTTTGGCGATACTTATTTCATTGCTCAATATTGGGCGTTGCTCAGTTACGGTTCTATTTTTCTTTCGAAATCTCTATTAATGGCCGTCGCCAGAAAGCTGCCAATTTTTTCTTTAATACTTTTGTCAGTAGCGATTTCGAAATGAACAAATACAACGATAAATGACTAAACGCAATTCTAAAAAATGTTTTTTCAATATCATCACAATATAATTTTGAAATATATAATTTTTCACGTATAAATATTGTAAAATAATTAGCTTTTGTTAAAATATTTATTTATTAAAAGGAAATGGGATGTAGAATACAAATATTATGCTTTACCTATAACGACCTTGCAGGACGTTTTTGTTTCCTTCCATACACTGAGTATGAAAAACATACTTCTTTGGCCATTAGCTGTATTAAGATTGCCGCTGTAAGTTGTTTCTCATCTCCTCCAACCGAAGTAAGAAAGTTCATCTAAAATAAGAAAACAAATATAATATAATTGGTTGTACTAAAAGTATAATGGTTCCTCATGTGTATGTATTAGACGGTTTTCCATAATGTGATTCTTATTAAAATATGACATAATGGAAGAGTAAAAGCAAGTGGTTATGACATCTGTAGCAGTGAATACACCCTACAGAAGTTATAGATATCTGAGATTAGTAGTCATTGCTACACAAAATACATTGCTAACTCGGCATAAAAGATAAAAATCACAATAAAATGTAATAAGCATTTATATAAAACATTCTGATATACAACATAATTATAGTCAATCACGTATCATATTGTATCATTTGTTTGTATGTTTCATATAAATGTACCATATATTTTAAAAATTAGAAACTTTAATAGTACATGGTACTGTTTCCAAAAACTATTAACTAATATCAATTCACTGATATATACTATTGATTCATAAGATGTCTTTGTTCCATAATTTTTCTTCGAGGTTTAGAAGATCTTTTTTTTTCTATAACCGGCAAATAAATTCAATAAATCGAAAGAGCAGTCAAGCAAAGCTCTGATGGTATCACTTAACCCTAAAACACTAAAGATTTCTTCAATCTTTGAGAAACTGAGAGACAATCTCATCAGTGTCACTTTTTTGTAACCTGCATCCTTTTAAGCTGGAGGCACAGATAATTCCGTTCTAAAGCAGTCTCATAACTATCAAAAAAAAGTATAAACAAAAGATGAAACCATACTAAACAATCAACATTTACTATACTTGAGTCAAACATAGCTGTTTAGATAAAAAACAAAGACAATACTGTAAATAAAACAAAAACAATATTGTATATAAGACAATTACCAAAAAATTCTTATTTTCAGCTGCTTTTAGTTACTTTTAAAAGCGTGACTTTACGAACGACAGCCTAAAGGCAAGATGCTTGCAAGTGATTTGGCCAATACACCAAACTTTCATTGATCCGCCATGAAAAACAGATTACATTCATGGCACACATATTGTTTTTCATTGAAAAATTCAGCCAGAGCAAATTTTTTTAATTTTATTACCACCTTCAGTTTAACAGTACATCAGCTAAAAAATAATCACAAATAAATTTATGATATAAAAAAACTTTAGATTAACTTTTTTTTATCAGATTATTATCTTTTTTTAACTGAAAATATTAGTCTAAAAATTAATGAGTTTCATTTCTTAATGTTTAATATAATCGCTTTTTATTTCAAGTAGAGTTTAATTATTGGTTAGTAAAAAAAAGTGAATTTTAAAGTTTGCGCGGTTTGGAAAGGTTTCTATGATAATATTTTCTTATTTAGATATGACATTAAGGAAGATAAACAACTTGAGGCTCTAAGTAAATATTTACCCCGAGATTACGAGATTCAAATTAGCATGAGATTAAGATCTCATGCTCAATTGAATGAGTTAGCCAGGCATAGAACATTTTTCTCAGTTATGGAACACTGAAAAAAAGTGTTTTTAATATACAACACTAAAAAAATAAACATAAAACTTATTTGATGTTTAATTTATTTTAATAATTCAGTGTTTAATTATAAGAGTTTTGATATGAAATATTGTTATTATTATTAATGTTGTTATTATTATTATTTTCTAAGGTTATAATTTTACAAATAGAATAATTAGGTATATAAAAAAGCCTATCAACCTTTTGTTCTATTATGTCTAATTGTGTCGGTCTGATCGTTTATATGCAGTTGTACATTTGATGAACCCAAGATGCATCTAGATGTTTTTTAAATGTCGTGACAGATGTGGAACACTATTTCAGATGGTAGACTATTCTACAAATTTGTGAATTCTATATTAAAAAAGTTTTTTCTGGACATCTGTCTTACAAAACATTTGTTTCAATTTATAAGCATGATTGCATGTTGTTAAGTTGGAGTTAGTCATAATGGAGGAATAAATACTAACTAAATATATAATCATATATTAATATTAAGAAGTGGCCATATTAACACGCATGCTATTACAACTCAGATTAACTATTTAATGGTCTGTAATTACAATAATAAATATAATGGCTGTGCAGATGACATCATTCTGACACAGGTGATGATAGATAAAATACTGAATGGTATTTAATGAGGAAACAAAAGGGTTGCAACTACAATTATAAAGATTGCGAATGCATTTGTAAGTATCTGCCATGTCATTACATAAGAAACGATTGATGATATACCTATATAGGATTTACTCACTTTCCTCCCAACCTTCCATCCCGACCTTCGTCATAACTAACGTCATAATCCGATAACGTCATAACGTTATAATCCGATAATGTTTTAAAATAAAAAAAATTAAATTTTTTTTGTTTAAAGTTAATCTAGCGTTATAAAAAAAATATATAAAAAAAGCAAATGCTTTTTAATTATATTCGTTATAAAAAATATAAAAAAGCATTTTATCAAATTATATAATTACAACATAAAAAAATGGGTAAAGTAAAAAAAATTGAGGAAAGTAAAAAAATAAAAGTCAAACGTCAATTATTTGTCAAACCTGTAGCTGTAAGTTTATTGTTTTCTTTTTTTAAAATAAATGTTTTGTATTTTTTTAAAATGGATGTGTATTTTTTCTAGGTTGTTAAACCCTATGTGCCCGAAAATGCTTATAAAGCGCCTCAAAATTATGTACCTCAAGTGGTTGAAACAAGACCACTTGAGGAATCAGATGAGGAAACATACGAAGACCAATTGGAAATCTACGACGATATTCCAGAAATAGACGATGGTAAATTAAAAAAAATTTTTTTATAATAATTTTTTTTTAAAAAATATTTAGTTTAAAATATTTTTTTAGAACAAGTTCGCATACTCGATGGTATTATGATTCGTATTGATCGTCATTTAAACGACGGCATAATGAATAGAAATGAACGATATTTTTCACTTAATGGAGATTCAACAACTAGACGAGTGGTTTGTTTAGGATGTTGTTTATGTAAAGGCGAAGAAAGCGAACATAATCATTGTTGCGCAACAACCGTGTGTTTTAGTTTAGGATTAGTTGGAGGATTATATTTGCAAAAAGATGTATTGGAATGTTATCATATTATAAAAAAGGAAAGAGACAATATATTAAATGAAAAAATTTATTAATGTAAAATTTTGTTTTTATTCTCATAATAAACTTTTAACAAAGTTTTCAAAACTGTTATTGATATTTTCAAAGAGTTCTTTATTTGTAAAATTGTTCGTACGTTTTTGAATTTCTTCGTCTATAATAACACCAATACGATAAAATTCTGCCAACACTCTACAACTATCGGATCCGTATCGGTCTTCTGCTATGTTTATTAGTATTCTTGCTTCTTGAGGGTTGTAACTAACAAATCTGATTTGATCATTTTTAACAAGTTTCATTTTTTTTTGTTATGAATCTAAAAAAAAAATAAAAAAAAATTTAGTTTGATAATACTTGTTTTACAAAATTATAAAAGTCTCGTTTAATTTCTTCTGTTTTCTCAATGTTTTTAAAATAGTTTGTTTGTTTTAAAACTTCTTCTTGTACCATTAATAATATATTGCCAAACGCTTTTAATGTTGATGGATCATTAGTCTTTTCATGTTCGATGATTTCCCTCTCCCTCCCCCCCTCCCTCTCCCTCCCCCCTGGGGGGGTGGGGGTTCCCCCTTCCCTCTTCCCTTCTTTTTTTTGCTAAAAAATTTTTTAGGCCCCTCCCCCCCTTTGTGAAGGAGAGTAGGGTCCAAAAAGGACTCAAATGAAAATACAATCTATGTTATCTGATAAAGAAAGAAAGGGAAGTTTTGGTTCAACAGGACATTAATATTTTTTTATATAATTATTTTTGTAATTTATTTTTTAGATGCCTAGTAAATTTATTGAAATGGTAGAGAAAGTTCTTAATAATATGGAGAATGGTGTCAATTTGATAAAAGATGTGGAAAATGCAACACTGACCGAGATGGACAATAATTGCAAATTTATTGTATATAATGGTAATCAGTGTCAAAGTGAACAATGTAAAATGGATGACAATAAAACTGATTTTTGTTATCAAAAACAAGATGCAAGTGATAATGAAGAAATCAATGCAAGTGTTAAAGAAAATGAAGAATGTGTACACAGTGATTCAGATGACGAAATTCTTGAATGTGTACAAAGTGATTCAGATGACGAAATTCTTGAATGTGTACAAAGTGATTCAGATGACGAAATTCTTCATGAAATATTTGATAAATATGATCAAATAACTATCAAAAAATCTAATTTTAAAGACGAATTAAAAAATTTAAAATTTAGAGTTAGTCAACTAGAAGATTTAGTGAAAAGAAGTGATGATGATAACGATGAAATGAATGAAAATTTAAGAATTCTTTTGTTATTAAAAGATTTAGATATTAGAGTAAGTTTTCTTGAAGAACCAAATGGTTTACCTGACGGTCAAAAGATCTTTGTAATTCAAGATATAGTAAAACGAATGAATATTAATTCGAATAATTATCGTTCTACTCTTTTTTCTGCACCGTTTTTTTATAAAAATTATAAAATGTCAATAAGAATTAATTTTAATATGGATCTTGAATATCATAATGAAATGATACATGGCGACTATATTGGCATATTTGTTGTTTTAATGCCACACATTTATGACGCTGTTTTAAAATGGCCGTTTAGTAGTAAAAAAGCAACAATATCATTATTGGGAGAGAAAAAATTTAAAAAATCGTTTATAACCGATGACGGTATTTATTATCAAAGACCTATTAAAGATCGAATTTTAGGATTCGGATTTGGAAGATTTATAAACAATACTGATCTTTTAAATTATATTGTAGAAGATTCTCTTTTTATTAAATGTAAAATTCATTAATTTTTTTTATATTTCATTTTTTTTAAAAAATTTGTAATTTTTTTTAGGTAACTAATAAAAAAAATGTTGTATAACATGATAGAAAAATTAAAAGAAAAAGATAAAGAGTTGGCTCATCAATGTGAAAAGTTGGACGATTATTTAAAAGGAATATACGTATATGAATATTATATGGATGATATACAAGAATTCAAATCTACTGTTTGTAATAATTTGAATAGCGATAAACATAATTACGCATATGATAAAAGTACTATCAATCTATATTTGAAAGTATGTACAAAGTTGATTATCAAGTGTAATAAATCTATTGATCGATTACAAGAGCAAATAAAAAAAGAAAAAGAATATCAAGAGGAAAGAAATGATGCGTTTATTGAATTTATAAAAGATAAAGACGATTGGCCTTGTTGTGCTAAAAAACAAAAATTCGAAAATTATGTTCATGAATTTTGCTACTTGACAAAAACAGAACTAGTTCAAAATTTAAAAATAAAAATACGTCACGAATTATTTAGTTTAATTAATAAAATAGAGTCGATATTAATTGCTGATTCTTAATTATTTTGTAATATGATTTTAAAATAAAAAATTTTTTTTAGATGTTAAAAGCAATTAGAAAAAATGTTAAAAATATGATAAAAGATGAACATATGGAAGATTTGCAACAGTTACAACTATTTGCTGTTAGCGAAAGTTTTGATTGCGATCAATACAAATGTGTTAAAAAAACTTTTGAAAAATTTGATAAAGATGTGGATATGATCAAATATGAACAAAATGAAATTGTTTTTAAACTTGAACTTTTACATTTATATACCAAGATTGTATTAGATTTGTATCATCAGTATACAATTTGTATACAATTTACAAAATGTGAAAAATTACTTGAAAAAAAGATAAATGTAATGAATAGAATAGGAAAATTTTTAAGGGAATTGTTACGTTATGATTTTGATAAATGTCGTTCATTATCTTATCTTTATTCTATTTGAAAATAATTTTTTAGATAACTAATAATGACAGATCTTTTTTGTGAACCATCGGATCAAAAAAAACAAAAGTTAGAAGAAGATGAAGCTCAATTAGAACCGGAATTACTCAAAGAAATTCAAACTTTACAGCTGATATTGATGATGTTGACGTAATAATGTTATTGAAATCATCGACAGATTATGATGGTTTAATAAAAAATATTAAAATGAAGTATAATAATTTATTACTTGGTAGATGTTATTATGTGAGCACGTTAAAGCAAAAACGTATTTACGATTTACATCATAAATGTTTATTTGATTTATATCAAAAATTTAGTTTTTCTACTGCAAGATTACATCTTGAAATGAAAGAGTTAGGAGATATTTATTATTCGAAAAAAAAGTTACTTGTTGAAGAAAAATTTAAACACACTTTAGCATATAATAGACACCGTGTTATTTGTAAATTATATAAAATGTTGAGTAAATTTGATAAACAAGTTCGATATTTAAATGACGATTATATGAGTGATATACATTATTTAGGGGGTGATTTAAAATCTTTAGAAATTTGGTGAATTTTTTTTGAGCTATGTATAAAATATAAAGCTATGATTTTTTATTATATTGTATTGATAACTATATAAATGTAAAAAATATTTTTTTAGATGGAATTAACAGTAAAAATAGTAAATGAATTTATGAAAAAATTTTTATCACACAATGAAATTTTTCCGTTTACGTTGGAAGAATTGATTATTCAAGCTAAAGAATTTCAACCATTAATATGTGAAGAATGTGAATTACTGAATGTGAAATGTCATCTATATTTTAAAATGTTTGATAACAATGAATGGAACATGTTGTTTCGATACGATTTTATGAGATCAGAAGATCGGTTGGTTGTTATGTTGACACAAGGATTTCAAAAACATTTGTTACATACAATAAATCGATTTTTACCACAAAACTTTAAAACTATTTTATATTTTTTTAAAGATTACATAAATGTAGATGTTTTCGTTTCACACGTTAACCAATTGAACAATGAAAATAATAAAGTTATTAATGAAAGAAAATGTTATTATTGTAATAATCTTTATTAATTTGTAATTTTTTTTCAGTTATAATGAATAGTAGAGAAAAACATAACAAAGATCTTAAAATATTTGGATTTTGTTTGTTTGGATCACAAATAAACACAGATGAGTATGTTGACGAATCAGTAATAAATTTACATCATAAAAAAGCATACGAAAATTTAAAAGAAATTCTTTTTCAATATCAATATGCAGGTGAAAAACTTCGATATCAAATTAAAGCTAATTATTTTGTTTCAAGTTTGAAGGAAGTATTTTGGTCAGCTCAATCTTTATCAAGAGAGAAACGTAATACAATAATACAAACTCATTTGGTTTGGATAAAAACTATGATTGAACTTTGTAATAAAGGAATAATATTATCAGAAGATAACATTAAAAATAATTTTTGTACTGAGAGTAAAAAAAGATTTTTGAAATTTAAAATTGAATTAAAAAATGATATGATAGAATGTTTAAATTTGTATACTTGTTGTTTTTATTGTAAATATAATAAAATATGTCAATATTGTATATGTTAAAAATTTTTTTTAGATGATAACAGAAGCTAAATTAAATAATATTTTGGAATTGTTAGAAATAGATGCCATTTCTCTTCGTAATATACAATTTGTATCTATGGAATACATGTTGAACGAATTACACAAAAAAATGGATTGCGAATTTAAAAACGAATATAATTGGGGTTCATTGGTATCAAAAAATAAAAGACAAGTACCAATGGAAATAGCTAGTTTTGTATTAATTTTAGCTTTATCTAAATTTAAAAAAGGCGAATTTCCAACTGATGATTTTTTTGAATTTTATGCTTTTTTTAAAAATTATCATGACAAAGAAAAATTTATTTACCAATTAAATGAAAAAATTGAAGATAGCAGGAAATGGTATTATGATAAACGAAAGTTGACTGTATTAAAACTCAATGACGTTATGAAAACATTTAGCGAACGACAATGGATTGAATCTACATCTACAATCTGTATGATGAAATTTACTTTATCAGATTTGTACGATAAAGCTTTAACATATAAAGAAATTTGTGGAAAATGTAAAATTATTAAAAATGATGAACAACTTGAAAAACCTAATGTTCCAATCCCAAAAGATTCTAAATTAAATGTGCCAACGGATTGGATAGATTTTTTTTATTATCAATTTCCTAATAATTATGTAATTTTATTTTTGATAGAAGTATTGTTGTCAAATTTTCCATACTATAAAGATAAAGCTTTTTATACGTTATATATGTTTTTTGAAAATTGTGACAATAATTATATTAAAAATATAATTATTGAAAAAGTTAATATAAAAGTTTATGATTATGTAAACGCGCTTTTTTATTATTAATAAAAGATTATTTTTTTAGATGGAATTTACAGAAATAATATTAAATTGTGTAATGGATTTTTTTAAAAAAATTTGTGAAAAAGAAAATTGGACAGTGGCAGATTTACAATTTAAATATATGGAAAATAACGTTGAAATGGAAAATATTTTTGAAAAAACAAATAGCTTTGTTAACAATCATCGTGTTGTTGTGTTGATGATTTTACAATATATAAGACGAAATTTTCATGTTTATTTAAATGTAAATTTTAATATGTTTTATCAATTTTATGAAAATACCCAGCGGGCACAGCGACGTGATAAAAACGTGCATTTCACGTTACTTTTGGCACGTGACATTTAGGTGACTTTTTGGTCCCTATGAAATAACCAAAAAACGTGATTTTTGGACGTGCTTTTCACGTTACTTTTGGTACGTGATATTTACGTGACTTTTTGGTCCTTATGAAATGTCCAAAAGACGCGACTTATGGACGTGCTTTTCACGTTACTTTTGGTACGTGAGATTCAGGTGACTTTTTGGTTACTATGAAATGAGCAAAATTGTTCATTTCTTCGAGACCATAGTCACCTAAATATCATGTACCAAAAGTACAAACGTAAAAAGCATGTCCATAAGTCACGTCTTTTGGACATTTCATAGGGACCATAAAGACACGTCCTTAAGCTTAAGGACGTGTCTTTATGGTCCCTATGAAATGTCCAAATATATATATATATATATATATATATATATATATATATATATATATATATATATATATATATATATATAAATATATATATATATATATATATATATATATATATATATATATATATATATATATATATATATATATATATATATATATATATATATACATTATCGAACTAAAAAGATTGAATGAAAAATTGAAAAAAAAAAAAAAAAAAAAATTAGATCAAATAGTCATAAAAAGTGGATTTCAGGTGTAAATATCTTTTATATAAAATAACTCGTTATTTATAATCTGCAGCCAATCCACGAGGAGCACGCTTTAAATGCTCTCCAATGAATCTATCTATTACTTCCCTTGTGTTAGTTTGAGATACAAGTGCAGCTAAAAAATAAGGAACAAAATGTTAATTGCTTTTTATCAAACACATTTATTTGTCATTTTTTTTAGACTAGTTTTGTTATTTCTATGTTTTGTAAGTAAGTAAATACTACAAAGAAAAATCTAAACATTTTTAAAACAGAAAAAATACTTACCTAGTATTGCCTTATATGAAAAAGTAATCTTAAACGATTTTTTTCCTTTGTTACCCATCTTGTTAAACTGCGCCTGCACCTGTTTCTCCATCAACTCATTTATACACCTACTTACTAGTTGTGAAGGTGACTGTCCACCCAGTTGTTTTAAACGACTAACCTAAAATATTTAAAAATGAATATTTTATTTTTTGAATGAATATTTTGAATGAATATTTAAAATTAATTTCATTGATCTATAAATTCAAATTTTGACAAGTGATTTTGCTCGATTAATGGCCAGTTTTATAAAAACCAAAACTAATAAAAAAAACATACCAGAAGAGTATACTCATTTTCATCAACCAACTTTCTATCGAACTTTTCAAATTCTTCCATGGTGTCAAACTTTGTAAGATGGAAACTTGAATCTGCTGGCTCTATTCTCCTTCCTAACCGTTCCAATGTAGTAACAATATCTGCCTGACCGGCTTTAATAGCAGCCAACTCCATAAACAATCCATACTGCATTCCTAAAATAAAAACATTAGAATAGTTTAATCAGCAATTAATACATTAGTCCAACACTTTTTGCAATCGTATCTTGTGGAACAAATCATTTCTAGATTTTTAACACATATTTTTAAACAAAAATGATTTTCAAAATATATAATGCCTAGCAGAGGTAAAAAAGAAATTAAAAAAACTTACGCCTCTGATCCATTAACTTAAACGAAGAAGGTGGGTCACCATAATTTCCAAAACGACATGTTTGACTGGATTTTGGTTGGCAGAGTGACAATGATGCATCTTTGTGACAGGGAGTGGAATTTACATTGAGCATGCAATGAGATGAAGTGTTTTGTTTCAATGGAGATCTCCTTGGGGGTTGATTACTATTACTGTTAGAAGCTGATGTTTGAAAATATGAAGCAGATGCAGTATAGTTGTGTTTGGTTACAGTATTCTGACTAGTCAACGAATGTTTTGATTTTTTTGTTTGTTGGATTGCAACTTTTAAAGGACTGGAATGTGAATCAGAAGAACAGCTTTCGCTTTCATTAGAATATTCTTTAGTCCTTCTTTTGCATTGGTCGGATTTAAAATTTTTACTACTAAACTTTGGTATTCTTTTGATGACAAGATCCGGACTAGGCTCGCGGATCATTTCAGATGTTTCTAGTACAACACCTAAAAAGTGGTCAATAAAATCAAATGAATGGGTTATTATTTCCAGTTTTATACTAAAAAAATAATTTTCACTTAGCAATGCAAATTTATCATAAAATAAGATGCAATCCAAAGAAAGAAACAAAATACAAAAACCTTGAAGAACCAAAAACAGAAAATTGAAACACTTAAAAAGACATCTACCTGCAGGAGGACACTCTGATAATTCTGAGTCTATGTTCAAGCATACATTACACATTTCTTTAGTGCCTTTACTTAAAGAAACTTTTATTAGAGGAAATTGTTGCCAATTTGGACAAGGAGAAAGCCATTTTGATATATAGTAGTGTAGGGGATGTTCTCCAACTGGAGGCCAGTACACACATTTTTCATCTTCCTCCACCCAATGAAACGGAACCATGCACTTTTTATGAAAATTATTTTCATTAAGAGTTACAACTGAATAAAGCTTTTTGATTGGGCTAAAATAAAACATTTAATCTACTATTAGCCACACACATCTCTCTCTCTCTCTCTCTCTCTCTCTCTCTATATATATATATATATATATATATATATATATATATATATATATATATATATATATATATATATATATATATATATATATATATATATATATATATATATATATATATATATATATAGTTATATATATATATAGTTATATATATATATAGTTATATATATAGTTATATATATATATAGTTATATATATATATATATATATATATATATATATATATATATATATATATATAATATATATATATATATATATATATATATATATATATATATATATATATATGTATATATATATATATATATATATATATATATACTTATATATATATACTTATATATTTACTTATATATTAATGAATTCTATTCATTTTATAACTTAGTCTCATTTAATCTTATTTTTGAAAATTAACATTTCGTTTAGAGGAAAATGGCAATTTTCTGTCAATGGAAATAATTAATAACACACGTTTATAAAAACAAGATTAAATTTTTTGACTGAAAATCATAATATAAAAACATAAATATAAAATGCTATGACTATTATCAAAAAAATATAATTGTCTATAACTGTCTTGTATCAACATTGTGAACTAGAGCTGATATAACAAATCCATTATGTGTAGGCATGCAGACACACTTCCGCAAAATATCGTGTTTTTGCTTGACACAAGGAGTAGAAATAGCATTTTTGCGTAAGAAAAATATGTCAATATCCTTTGATTGCACAAAATCAGTAAAAAAGTTGTCCAAAGAATGCTTCTTGAATTTAATGCAATGAAATTGATCACCAACAACGTTTTTAACAAATACAACACTTGAGTTAGTTATAAAACAATTATCTTTATCAGAAACACTAATGCGGAAAGTGTTTTTTGGTGTTTGATGAAAATCATTCAGCTCGTCAAGTCTTTTGGCCACTTGTATCAATGGATTTCTTGTTCCACTGATCATTTTTTTTAATTTTTGAAGATAATTTTCAAACTTAAATGCGGAGAGATTATCCAGAGACACACCATAATTCTGAACATCTTCACAAAGGTGCAAAAGACTGTGTACATTATAGACACAAAACAAATGGCCATACACATCTACTGAATTAGTTACAAAGTATCTTAGTAAGTGTTCTGCATTCTGAAGATTTGAGTTGCGAGTAGCATCATCACTTTCGCACAGAAATCTTATAGCAAGGCACAGACTTAAAAAATGTTTGTAAACAGAATTATCAACAACATCTTTAAGGGCAAAAATACCAGTGTAAAGCAAAAATGAGTGCAATTCTGTAGCTTTCCATCTATCTAACTCAACAAGACTCCGTGGCTGTCTAACAAAGTCACTTGGGAGTTTACCATTCAAACTGGTAAGCTTCTCAGACACCTGGTTGACCATGTTGGCTGATAGTTTACCTGAACTTGTGCCTTTGATACTGCCCTTTAGAAAATATAATATTCTCCGCATAACACCGAGACAAACAAGATGCATATAATCAAGCAGAAACATACTCACAAAACCAATGGACTCAACATCATGTAATGGACTTTTGCTGATTTGGTGAGATCTATTATTATCATCTTTGAAAAAGTAACCATTTGTCCGAAAGATCTGGTCTGTTCTTAAAACAACATTTTTTTCATGGTGGGAAAAAACAATACGATTTTTTAAACTCCTTCCTACCATTGTACATCTTTCGCATGAGTGGAAACCACAATGACTAATGATTCCTTTTAACATTGCTCTAGCAGGAGCATCGCAAACAAATGCATAAACAGTAACAATGTAATCAATGTTATTGACATGAAGAGCATTATGTTGCAATTCATTTAACTTATTTACTAAGGCACACAAATACACATCACATGGTGGCTTTTTATTACCACAATATAAACCAACAACAAATGGTTCCATTCCTAAAATTGAAGCAAGTATTGGCCATAGTTGGGTAGAGTTTGATTTGAACAAAGGTATTCCATCAATATTAAAAGTTAAATAAAGAGAAGTTTCTTTGATTGATTTGGAAGAAATTTGTTTTTCAATTTGTGTTTTTAAACCCAAGTAAATATAGTCACCGTAACCTTCAATATTGATACTTGCAATACTTCTTTTTGTTTTTAATAATGTTCTAGAATCTAATGGTACACTTTGCTTACACTCCAAAAACAACTTTAATGCACCATTAATACATTGCCTTGTACATCTATGTGTAAGAGCCCAACAACGCAGTTTAGAACATAAGCTTTCATCATAAATTTTATTTTCATCTTCTTTATTACCATAAGAAACACTTTCTGAGGAAGTTAAAGAAACATCTACTTCACTATTGCAATTGCTCAAATCACTTTTAATAAATAGAAAATCATTATCTTCTACATCATTTGAAATATCTGTAAAACTATCATCACTTTGTTCATTTCTTGTTACCTCTGAAGAACTTTGTGTAGATACAGAAGTTGAAGTTCTTGTTACCTCTGAAGAACTTTGTGTAGATACAGACATCTGTATAACAGCTAACCTCCTTTTTCTCCATAATAATACTGAACTGAAGACATAAACAAGATTTAAAGTTTTTAATTTTTTTCGTACAAATTTTAAGTTTATTTATGAAACAAAACCAGCAGAAAAAATAAATATTTATAAAAAATACATAACTGAAAAATACATTAGAGCCTTAAAAATATCTATGGTACAGGACAAAACAAACAGAAAATATAAAATAACTTGTCATCATCACATGAGTCACAAAAAAATACAACGAGAGTAAAAAGTCTATTTTTCTCAACATTATTCAATAACCTTATAAGTTATAAGGTTATTGGGTCTTACTACTAGTAAGATTAATGTTAAACTTATTAGGCTACATGGACAAATGATAAGTTCTGCATAAAATATTATTGACTAGGAAGACCCAATTATATTGTTTTGTCATTGTCTAGGAATATTATTGTCTAGTAATGACTAGTAATACAAGATAATGTTATTTCTAGACAAAACGATATAATTGGGTCTTCCTAGTCAATAATATTTCATGCAGAACTTATCATTTGTCTATGCAGCCTAATAAATTTAATGTTAAATAAGTTGTAGTATAACTTATTTAGTATTAAGTAAGGTAAGCTACATAGACAAATTCGACAGTTTAAAATAATCAATAATACTATTATTAATAGGATACTATAATTAATAGGACTATTATTAATAGGATAAAAAAAGTATACCTTGTACTAGGGTTTGATCTTTTGCGTGTGGCTATATAATAATTATCTGCCATAACGTATCTACGATTTTGATTAATTTAAATTGATAACACTTAGAATCTAAGTTTTATAATAAAAAGTGTTATAATCTAAGTTAGATAATATATATAGATAATATATAAGATAAAAAATTAGATAATATATAAGATTTAGATATTATTATGTGTTGAGTTAAAATATTATACGTGACTTTTTGTTGCGTCCAAAATGCAGAGCGACGTTATATTATAAAATATTATAAAGACTGATCCTTTTTTTTTTCAATTATTATAAAACTACAATAAAAAAAAATTATGTTATCAGTAAAATTTAGTAAAAAAAATTATAAAAATGAATATATAAACTAAATTACAAAAAAATAGTAAATATAATAAAGAATATCTTTCCAAGTTTCTAATCGCAGGTTTTTATTGCAAATAAAAAAGTTCCGAAAACAACGATATCTTGGCAACGTGACTTTCACGTTTTTTTCACGTAAAATAGTCACTTGGACGAGGTCACGTAAAATACACGTGATTAAGACGTGAATAAAACGTTGCGTGCCTACTGGGTATGAGCGAATCAATAAAAAAAAAATGGATTAAAGAAATACAAATGTATATTGATCTATGCATCAGTTGGAAATCTTATTTAAAAGAAGATACGAACGAAGACGTTTTTTATTAATTTTTGTTATATTAATATATTTATTTTTAGATAAAAAAATATAAAATATGGATATACGAAGAAAATATCAACAACAAGAGTCATTAAAAAAAATATTAATTGAAAAACAATGCGAAGAAGTTGAAAATGTATTATCGTCTACATTATGTGAAATGAGTGAAGAAATAGATTTGTTAATAAAATTATATAACGAAAGAAAAAATCGTAAAAAACATAAAATTATAATATTTGAACTGACAAATAATGAAATGATATCAATTGTGATGTGGTTTTATAAATTTTATATTTTATATATGTATTCTTAATTTTTTTGTAATTTTTTTTGTAATTTTAGACAGAAAAATAAAAAAATGACTTTATCAACTAAACAAAAATTGGCTTTTCAATGGTTTGACGAAGGATTAAATTTTTTTATTACTGGTAGTGCTGGTTGTGGTAAAAGTTATATACTTGATGCTATTGCATCTAGCGATCAATTATTTAAAAATATTGCAGTAACAGCTAGTACAGGAAAAGCTGCTCATCAGATTAAAGGTATGACTGTGCACAGTTTTGCAGGTATTGAAATAGGTACAAAATCTGTCGATTATTATTACAAACACATGCAAGTAGATGTTTTAGAAAGATGGAGAAATACACATGTTTTGATTATTGATGAAATTTCAATGCTTAATGCAGAAACCTTTGATTTATTACATCATTTAGCATGTAAAATAAATCAATGCAATGATGAATTGTTTGGTGGAATACAAGTTATTACATGCGGTGATTTCCGTCAGCTACCACCTGTAAAAGGTGAATATGTTTTCAAGTCTGCAATATGGAAAAAATACATGTTTAATGTTATCGAACTTACTGAATCTTTTAGACAAGAAAATATTGAATTTTTTAACGCTTTAAACGAAATACGTATTGGAAAAGTATCTGATAAAACGGTCGATTTATTAATGACAAGACATTATGAAGCTGATCACAATATAAATTCAAATTTCATACGATTGTTTTTTAAAAATATGGAAGTTGATTTTTATAACTTGCGTCAATTAATGAGTATTTCTTCTGATGAACGTTGGTTTCATTCTAAAGATGTTATTAAAAATTCAAAAATAAATCCATTGTTTCAAATACCCATTAGTATAAATATTAAAATTGGCGCTGTAGTCATGTTAGTTAAAAATATAAACGTTGAAGAAGGTTTATGTAACGGTACAATTGGTATTGTAACATTTATAGAAACAGATGGTGTTTGGGTTAATATAAACGGTAGAGAATTTAAAATCGAAAACGTTAGAGAAGACATTTTAGATTGTACTCATAGTATTATTGCATCTAGAATTGGTTTACCTTTACAATTAGCATTTTCTTTAACTGTTCATAAAGCGCAAGGTTGCACGTTAAATAAAACTGTTTTAAATTTTAACAGTAAAATATTTATTATGTCGTTACCCTATGTTGCGTTATCACGTGTTAAAGATTTGAATGATCTATATATAATTCATAATAATAAAAACGAATTGAGAAAAATATTAAAAAATAAAACAAGTGATAGAGAAGTTGATTTATTTTATAAAAATTTAAATGAAAAAAATTTGTAACATGTTAAAAAAATATATTTATTTGTTATATATAAAAAAAATTTTTTTTAGATTAATAATAAAAAAATGCATTTTAAGGTTAAGAACATTGAAGAAAAGTTAGATAACGAAAGTTATTATCGAGAAATATTATATTTTGTAAATGACAATTATAAAGATGAAGATTTTATCGAAGAAATTGAATTAAACGATCAAATTCAAACACCTGAAGAAATTACTCATCACATTAATCAAAAAACACAAGATAGTTTTCTTATTGAAACAAATAAAGCGTTATCATTTGCTGATTTATTTCAAAATTTTTTAATTGGTTATAATATTGTAACACTTTGCGCTAAATCTACAGAAGACGGTTATTGTGAAATTATAAAAAGATGTTACAATTCGCCTGTATATTATATAAAACCACTAGAAGGATCAATAAATTTACAATATATTAAAAGTAATAACATTCGTTCAGTTTTTAACATTTTGGAAAATGATAGCGGATGGAGAATAATTCGTTTATCTAGTTTTAAAGTAAAAACATTAAGCAATTTAACTGAAAAATCAATGATAAAACTTAGAAATTATGAACTTGCTGGATACAAAAGAGTTTCTGAACTGAGTCCAGAAGAATTAATGATGAGACGAGAATATGAACGTAAACGAAAGAAAAAAAATTCTAAACTGAGTCCAGAAGAATTATTGAAAAAGCGAGAACGTGATCGTAATCGAAAGAAAAAATATTATACTGAAAATAAAAACAAAATTCTTCATAAACAAATTTTTCATAAACAAGGTCGCATGTATATAAAAGAAGAAAATCAAGATGAATGGTATGGAGAATGGTATCGACCTCATTCTTTAACTCAATGGAACAAACATAAAAGTAGTTCGTTTAAAGTATTATCATACGATCAAAAAAGAAAAATGTTTTTAGATTATAGTATTTTGTTTGAAAATGGTTTGTGTTTTTATTCAGCGTTTGTTATTTCATTATTAATAAGAAAGTGGAAAGTAAATACAATTAAAGAATGGAATACAATAGTATTGGAAAAAAACGGACAAGACTTTTATTCTGAAGAAAATATAATGCAATTTCTTATTGAAGATCAAAATGATTCGTGGTTACATGCATTAAGTCTCTTAAAAGAAAAAAGTAAAAATTTATCATTTCTAGAACTCATTGATTTGTGTCACTCTTTTGCATACGAAAACACTTTTGATCGAATAAATATAAAAATATTTTCAATAAATAAAAAAAATAAAAACGTTCGTTTGCTACATCCTAAAATGAAATCGCAATATAAATGTGTACTATCGGAGCTAATAAAAGTGGTATACGAGAGTGCAAATATAACAAAAGAAGATCAAAATCCTCAGAGAGAATTTTTAAACGAAGACGAAAGAAAAGAAGCTAACGAGCGTAAAAAAACAGTAAATACAATAAAAATATGCTTGTATGAAAAAAATCAGTCTTTTCACGCTGTTAGCATGCTTAATGAACGTTTTTCTGTTATATATAATAATAATAATAATAATCAACTGTATCAATGTTCGGAGTGTGGTCTCAAATATACTAGTGAAATTCATAAACAAGAATGTAAAGGATTTTATGTAGCAGACAAATTTTCATACGGAAAAAATAGACATTTTTATGAACCTCAAAATCAATTTATAAACACTTCTCGAAACGTTTTTCCTTTTTTTATTACATTTGACTGTGAAACAAGTGTTCAAACATCAAATTTAAAAGAAACAGAACACGTTAAACCTTTGTCAGATCTTTCGTACTATTGTCACGGCATTGTTATTCATTGTTTATCTGAAAATTTAGCTAGAGAATGTTTTGGTTTAGATGAAAGAAATAAAGTTATAACACAGTGGATATTTTATTATGAAAATACAATTGAAAGTTTGCAAGCAAATCCTTTAACATTACTACCTGCATGTTTTCAAGAAAATGTTTCTTTACTACACAAAACACATAGACAAATTTTGTGGCAAAAATTGGATGCAAATGACGAAAATGTTGAAAAATATAAAAGCGAACTGAGAGTATATGATTTGTTAATTTTGGCTGACACTTTAGTTCGTTTTACCTACGAAAAATGTTTACCTCGTTTTCAAAACTTAAACCTTTCTGAACACGAAAAATGTCAAGTATGGCAAGAAGAAAATCTTTTGTGTACAATATGCAGATGTCCTGCAGACAAAATAAAGAAATCTGATGTGTACAGTTACAAATTAACTACAATGTTAGAACCAGAAATAAATTTATTAAATCATAACGAAATTAGATTTTATAACGACAAACGTGTTCAAGTTGTAAATCATATATTTAAACGAGTAAGCAAATTAGAATTGTTTATGCTTAAACCGTCAACTCAAAATTATTTAATAACAAGCAAGGTAGAAAAAATTAAAAATGATTTGTTTCAAATATCAAGTTTATTTTATATTTGTTGCAGATGGTGGGAAAAATTTGACCGCACTCTTATAACAAACGGGTTTTTAAGTGATTATGTAAGAATAAACTCGTTAGATCTTGTTGATCACATGAAATGTTTAAGTCAACTCGTTATGAACGAGCAACAAATTAACATATGGTTTGAAAATGATCCTATAGAATTACTAGAAGATTCTTTTTTTTTAATACGAGTTTTTCAAAAATGTATCAACGAAGTTAACGTGCATTGGAAATATGAACGTGGAATGGGAATAAAAGATTCTATTACTTTTTTACATCTCATGTCTCGTTTAAATCATCCGTCTGCTCATTTATGGTTTCATTGTATGTTGGAACCGTTAAATAAAGAATTTGAAAAAAAAAGAACGTTAAAATAATTAATTCAAGATGATAAAGGAAAAGAT